TACGTGGTTTCAAAAAGACTGGTTCAGTATTCGTATTAGGTGGAAGCATTCACTTTCGACCAGAATGTCACTTGAGGTCGTTTAGTTAAAACAGGGTTTTCACCATGGGCGAGATGCTGTATAAGTTGAAAAATGGGAGTACATGAAACGGTATTAGAGGAAGATAAGTGACGTAGTATATAAAAAATGATAATAATAGTAATGATAGTAAAAATGAGTGTTATCAAGTGAATGTGAATTGTCTGAATTAGAATTGAAGCGAGCATAGTATTTCGTGGAGTAATTGTCATCTTATTAGGTTTGTGTGAAAGCTATGTACGGGTGCCTAGATCGAAGCAGGTGGTTTTCTTAGAGGGCCACACACGGAGCTTCGACCTAAAGGTCTAACCCATAAGTCAGTGGAGCATCGTGAGGAGATGCAGTCCCATGGTAGCTGGTGACCAACAATTGATTCATACGCCATTTGTTCCCCAAGGATACTGGAGCCCATGTACACTGTAGTGCCTTGCTTCATTAATAGTTCACTTCGATAACCGTTATTATACCAATCTTAGCGGTATATAAAATCAGAAGGCAAAAGGAAGCGGCAACTACATTTTTATTGATGAATGATGACGACCAGAAAGCTGTGGGCACATGAGCAAGTGTAAACGAGCGAAGCAAAGATGATGCATAGTGGAGATGGCGGGGAAGCCAATTCGCTATGAGCAAGCATTACTCAATATTTATAATCAGACAAAAATGAATGACAGACATATGATGAATAGGATACGAAGGGTACACATATACGCTCATATAAAAATATAGTCAAGGTTAATAAGCGAATAGTGAACAAGATCAAAATATGACTAGTAATGTTTAGGTGAATTAGCTTGGCCAGAAGCTAGAATAAAGTATATGGGCTTAACATATAAACCGATACTACAACACCATTGATTTGGAATCAGGGTTTTCCAACTCCCCGTGGTGGACTCAAGTTGTCCACCCGCCGGATTAGAGCGCCGGACATTCGCTTTTTGTCCTCTCAATTTCGCAAACAACACTCCCACCACGAAAAGACAGTGAGTAGGGCTTCCCTGGAAAAGGATGTATACGTGTGGCCATGTGAGAGCATTTCGAAAGAGAGGGCGGGCCCTCCTCACTCTCGGCCGTACCAGGGCATGTGGGGGCGAGACTTAAAAGTCTGTGTTGGAACCTGCTTAAAGAATGACAGATTGTGGAAATATCCAAGTCCTACCTTATTAAATCTGTACAGCCATTTATAACGAAGTCGATAATGGATTCATCAAAGCACGTCCATCCTCATTTAGTAGTGTTAAGCTCCAACTTTCATTTTGAGTATCATACGGTGACCTTGCTGAGCTCCATACTGAAACAGTTTTGCATATAGTTTAGCGCATAAGGAGAAAATTAGTACACCACCTTGAGATTATTTGGATACCGGAAACGAATTTCTGTGGAAAAATAACTGCGGGTATCATTTACATAAAGTACAAAAAACAACTATGCTTGGTGCACATTAGTTTCCCTAAGTGATATCAGGATTTCGTGAATTTTGAGTCAAGTTAATACTTTGTTTGGGGAATTAGAGCTCAGGTCAGCAAGAGATAATTTTGTCTCATAGATATGCCCTGATGATGAGCCAGGAACATTAGTAATAGTTTCAGTAACACTATCTTTGTTTGAAATGATCTTTTTCGCAGGTATTTGATTAGTCGTTGTATCTGAGACTATACGGAAATTTTCCAACTCGGTAGGTGCACCAACCGACTGTTCTTTCAGTTGTTCGGTAGCTAACAAGGAATCAAGTTCAAACGAGACAGGACAGGAGAATTTTTGGCGTTTTTTGTTAAGACGGATGCATTGATACGAACTGTTTAGAAGAATAGCAGTTTCTATATCGTGTGCCTCATTGATTTAAATGAACCCTTGTCAGGTCTATTGTGGATGACTTTACTGTTTCTTGAGACCATTTCCTTAGCAATTTTGCTAGCTTTAAAATCAATAACAGGCAGTTTTTAGAACATCGTCAAGGTCAGAGGGGACCGTGTTATCAAACAATAATAATACTGAGTGACAGCCTTAATTTCATGTTTGGTATCATGTAATGTTAACGGGAAACATGTTAGCGATTCCATCTCGGAGCATATTTTTCTTGGTTGTTTGTTTACTTGTGTAATTCACACTTTGGGTTATCTACACCATAACATCTTAATGAAGATGAGGTATATCCATTAGGTATTGAGCCAGGTAATTGTATGAGTGGGATGAATTCAATCATGACGGGATTTGTTAAATAGGGTATAAATTGGCTTGGGGTAAGGTCAATAAAAATTTTAATCAACAGGAGCGTTCGGGTTTTTACGGTCTCATTCCATTTCATTTTTGATAGTATCATTATACGTTATAGTCAACTAAATACATCAAAATTAAACTTTTTCCATAAAGCGTGTAAAAGTAAGGCAATATTCTAACGTACAGTGTGGCGACTTTCTATATTGTTTTCAGCTCTTTTTTTAATCATTAGAAGATGTAGGCAATAAACAAGGAGATATTAAGGAAGAGTAAAATTATAAGAATGTGTAAGTAACTAGCCAAAAATTGTTGACATAAACGTAGTGATCTAGATGAATCACAAAACTTTAGTATAATTAGCTACTTAAAAAGGAACCTGTAGAATACGTTACATTCTCCTTTTATTTTAAGTAATGTTGAGTCTGAGTTGTGTATTTTGTTCAAAAGAACAAATAAACCTTTTATTTGTGTACATAAATAGTTAATCTGTGGATACTACCAAATGTGTAAGAGACAGCGTTATAATATATTCAAACTGAAGTATATCAACTGTTAATCAATTCTCCAAAATAACCAGTCATCTTTTTATAAACTCAACAGTATGAAGGTAAGTTAACCAATGATATTGTAAATATTCCAAACTGTGTAATACATCTGTTACGTCTGCCGTTTGTGAACGTTATGTTTGCTTCCCTAAGCTAGTTTCGGATCCCCGAGCTAGAACTATACAGCAACTTGAAGGCCAGAGAGAAGACACGAGTATCAGAGAAGCACTTTACTACAAGGTTCATTTATGTACAGAAAAACAGGGGTTTTATAGTAATTAAGAGACATTGAGATTCCATAGTAGCAGTATGTTAAACAGCCAATCAGGACCTCGTTATTTTAGTAGCATAGCTTCTAACTAATCGCTGATTGGTTGGGCTCTTTATGAGCCTCTGGAGGCTCTGATAGAGTTTACTGTAAGCCGACTTAACAATATCTGATTCTCTTATTTATGAGTATACGAATTATACTAGACAATATGAACTTCTAAAAGAACAGTAAATCAAATTAAATTGAATATTTATTATATTTTATTACAGTTAAGTGACAATAATTGTATAAACTCTGTAGTGCAGAATTCTAAATAACAAAACAGAAGACAAAATAAAACAGTAATAATAATGGTAACAACAAATAGAGATAACAAAGACTTGAATAATGTGAGGTAGAATTTTGTGCTTGTGCAAAATAAAAAATAGACAAATGCACGAATCAATACATAGATATCCACACAAATAAACTGCTCTGAACACAATGAACCAAATCAAATAAACCATTCATTTTACCGTCAACACAATATTTTATTTATAAGATATAACATAAAAGCTTCCATTGACGTATAGACATGGTCACATATTTGATTCTTACTCTTTCCATCGTTTTATGAAATTACACTAAAAGAAATACAAGCTTTACAATCAGAAAAACATCTTGCAACAACAGTGGATTTAGCTAAATATGAGAATATGTTCATGGTCTAGAGAAACAACAAAGGGATATATATATATATCAGAATATTTCGAGTATTTTCACTTTGGTATTCAGTTTAAAAGAAAATATAGAGAAATAAAGAATAATTGAACAGTGGATATTGCACACGTTAACATAGTCTTTCTGTAGATATTAAAAGAAACAAATCCGAAAGTGTGTGTGTGTATGGCGGAAATTTAGTCGTACCAAATAACAGTTACTAGTGGATAGAAAAAGTAAATTGTTAACTTCAACTGGCCAGTGAAAGATCAACTCTAGATAAGTGTATCATTCATTGTATGTGTGTGTGTGCATTAGTGACTTCCAAAAGTAATTACAGTATAGAGAATAAATTGTTAAAATGAAATAAAGATGTTTTATGATAGTAGCATTAAACGAACTATTCAGAAAAGTACAGAAGGAAGATAAACTTTAATTAGTATATTAAAAAATAAGTAGAATTTTTCGAAAATCAACCAAAAATTGTTTAACAAATGCGTAAAACAATTATACATATATAGATAGATATAAACCGTAATAGAATAATTTGTAAAATTGTTGAAAAAAGAAACGTAATCAGGTTAATTTATAGATTGTAAGATAAAAGAAAAAAAATGTATTTTGGTTCCAATGAATGAAACTTACTCCTTTGGTAATCATTTGATCAATCAATAAGATTATTCAATAATGATAATATGTGCGTATAGATGTTTAAACTAAAACAAAAATTGGAAATAAAGTTAAACCATTTTCATATGATATTGAAGAACTGTCAATGTTTCATTTGTTTTTATACACAAAAATATACATTCACAGAAATAACTGGATGAATGACTGTAAGTAAACAAACTTGAATATATATATATAACACTAAAAGGAATGCAAACAAAGAAACAAAATAATTGAATACTTCATAAAGTTAAGATGTATTCACTAGGAGAAAATCAAATTATATTCATTGAATGCTAGAAACACATATAAACACACTTTATCATTACAAATTTGGAAGTAAATTATGTTTTAATGTTGAATTAAACAAATAGAAGTGATGAATTATAATTTGACAAATTTCCATTTAAACAGATATAAAACATAGTTGAAATCATAAGTCAATTGAAGCTAGACCACCATGGAAAACCTGGAAGCACTAGACGGCTGTTTCGTCCTATTGTGGGACTCCTCAGGTTCTCCATGGTGGTCTAGCTTCAATTGACTCATGATTTCAACTATGCAAATACTGAAATCTCCACAAAAGCCTTTCTCAAGATAAAAAAAACCCAGTTCCTAATAAGATTACTCACACATACAAAAAAACTTTTACGGACAGGATTAATTCAATTTTTGGATAGCTTCATATTTCAAAAACAAAGGAAAATAAAAATAAAATAAAATCCCTAGTTTGAAATTGAATGTTCAATTGGCACTTTCAAATAAAGAACAATCTAAAAAAAACGGAAGAAGAAAAGAAACAACAACAATGAAATGACTTGGCAAAAGAGAAATGCTGCATAGATATATATGTATATCAGTAGTTTCTATTTAGTAGATAAATAAAATAAATAAAATTGGACAGAATAATAAATAAACTGAATTTACATTAATAGAATAAACAGAATTATTTTTATGATTAATACTAATATAATTGTTATTATTCTCAATTTTATGATTGTTACTTTGTATTGACTCTTCGTGATTAACTAATAATTGTCCATGATTTTGAGATAAACTAAGTTCATGTTCGGAATAACCATTTCGATCAAGTGTATTAGATGCTTCAATATGAGTGAAATCATTCGACTGTACAACTAATGATGGTAGATCAAATTCAATTGAAGGATTTGATTCGTCTAAACCATGATTCGATGAAGAATGACCTGTAGAAGAGAATGGAATAGAAGATTGGGGAAAATAATTTGGGTAGAATTCATGAGATGATGATGACGAAGAAGAAGAAGAGGGAGAGGAGAGAGAATGTGAAGAGACAGAAGACGATGATGAGGATGATAGTTGTGCTGAAGGTGGTGGTAATGACAGAACAGAGACCGTTGGTATAGGTGGCGGTGGAGGAGGTGGAAGTGGGGCTTGAACAGATGATAAACTTTGGTATTCATTATTCCAAGTAGGCCAATATCGATAGGAGTTTTGATTGTTTAAATAGTAAAATGGTGGATAAGGATAAGAGTTTTGATTTTCCGATGAACCAAAAGAGCCATGATCACCGTTCTCTTCATGAATAGGATTTAAAACAGAATCTAAGGAATAGTGTTTTGATGTTTCAATAGATTTTTGTTGAGGCTGTTGTGAAGTTTTAGGTGAGTGAAATTTGTCTTTCTGTGGATCAATCCATGTTTTTTGAGATTTTACAGAAGGATTAGACTCTTGGTTTCTGGGAAGTTGTCTGACACCTCGTCTATGAGAAGAACTTGGTACAGATGGTGGTGGAGTATTTGTTCCATATAAAATTAAGCTCCAGTCATGAATCGAAACTGAACAAAAAGAAATAAAACATAACAAATAACTTTCAGATAAATATAAAAACCTTTGTCCAAATTTTAACGAATAGTTTCACAGTAGTAATGTAAGCCCCCCTAAGAAAACCACCTGCTTCGGTTTGGGTACCCGGACAGTATCACAGCCCACATACAAGTCAAGTGACTTGTGTGGCTCATATGTATTCGGTGTCCATTTGTACCAATAATTCTATGTTTAAGTAAAATAAATATGAGATAATTCCATAAAAAGTATAGTTTTGCTTACGAATTATGTATCGAATGGCAAACGATCCAGTAAATTTAATTCTACCGTTGTACACACTCTAGAATAGGGTCAGCTGTTGTGTGAATAACTCAGCAGTAATATCTACGACAGAGATAGTGAACTGCGCAGTATTTAAAAATTTGTGAAAATTTTGGCATATCATACTGATACATTTACACATATTTGGGACAGACTGGTTAGCAAAAACTAAACGCATTCTAAAATTTGAAGATAACGCCCTTTGTTTAAAAAAAATAACATAAAGCTTACCGACAGCATTTCCTGATTTAACTGTTAATTTCCAAGTACCATTGGCTAATTCACCCCAATAGTGTACAGACATAAATGGCCATGCATGAAATCCAGCGACATCAATATCTTTTGGCCTTTTGCTTAAAAGTTGTGAGATAGTTCCAGCTGGAGACGTTAACCACAATTCAATTTCACCTCGTTGTGCACTACTTAGAGTTACCTATGAATTGTAAAATTATAAATGCTTTGACAATGTATACCTATACATTACAATTTTACTTTTCAGATATTTTCTGCTTAAATAAAATGATGTAATCAGTTATAGAAATAAACAAGCCCGAATGACAAACAAATATCTTCATAAAATTACTTCTATGAATGTTTACAAACTAAAATTATTAATTATGGTTAAATCAGGTGGACCCATTTCATTCTTTTCATTGTATATCATCATCAACTACTGTATTCATTTTGTGAACAATGTATAATTTTATAAAAACAAGTAGTGAATAATCCATATAGATCCTTAAAAAAACTTCACGTTAATACATTTTACTACAATGAGTGACATGGCTCAAAATCGTTTGCAATGGCGAAGTTGCATCCACTCTTTATGTTCTACCAAATTCTAATCTTCTGAATTCTTCATGTCTCTATTTTCCTTCTCTTTTCAAATTTATTTCATTGGATTATACTCCTTCAATAACATCTTCAAACCCCAATCTTTCACATAATGTTTATACTCTTACTACTTCTACCACTATGGGATTTGAATCAACAACTGCATCTCTGTGCTAATGTGGTATGGCAACTCGAACTGATGTACGTACGTACGAAGTTCTACGTTGTAACTGACTGAGTGACAATGAACGAACTTGTAGAGATGATTTTACAATTCGAGAGTGATTCTCATCAAAAAGTTAGCATTTCTTTTTTACTATACACGATTATAAATGTTCAATATCTTGGTAACAGAAACTAAGAGAAAATTCATGGAAAACAAAAGTTATTATAAGTCAGTATGGATTAATATTGAATCTTCCTGAAATTAGGGTTATTCACAAATCTTTCTTATGTATCCTACAATTTGTTCTGATAACCTTGGTTATGATTAATTTTTCTCAAAAACTCTCTATATATATATGGAACATACTGTAGACAAAATGTAAAGTAACGGTAACTTTTCTATGCAGTTTCATCCAGACATTTTCTAGCAAATTTGATTTCAGTCTAAAATATAACATAATTCACTCTTGACAATTTTTTATTTTAGACCATGCAGACATCAACAAAATATGTGTAAGTTGTTATAATAATAATAATAATAATAATAATAATAATAATAATAATAATAATAATAATAATAATAATATGAAAAGGTGAGTTTTTTTATTTTTATCGCCTTTAAGAGATTCCAACACATGATTCTTGAACTCTTAACAGAGAAATATAATCTTTGCATTCTTATCAACTTTCGTTCTTTCTTTCAACCGATAACTAATTTTTGGAAATGAAGTTTTTATTCATTTAAAGACTGTTGTTTAACCATTTTATTTATTTGTATTAAGGACTGATTATGATGTTAGATGGAAAGAATACAGAACAGTAGTAAAATTATCTCAGATAGAACCAAGAAGAAATTCGAAGTAATAATCGATTATAAGCATATATTTTTATGTATGATGATCCAATCGACCAAGAAAATTTGATGGATTCGATCTAGTATTGTAGGATACGCGTTCGCACCATACTGTATCAGAGCTAGATACATCCCCATTTAGCAAACTAGGTTGAGGACCCTAATTTATTTGTTTTAGCAACTGTTTGAGCACATGTGTAGCCGCACCGATTTGTAAACCACGATCACGTATCTCTATAGATGCATCCAAACAAACGTAGATTAATGAACAATGAGATATGACACAACTGTTTACATGCTATTTTGGATTTTGATAAAGCGTAGACGATGTAACGATTTAGGAATTTTTATTTGATTTGTATGAGTAATCATGGAACTCATCTTCATTCCCCATCCTATTTAGCTTAGTGGTAATCAGTTCTAATATTTCGGTCGGGAATTGACTATGCATAAACCCCAAACGATAATTTTGTTTACTGATTTATACTACTTATAAGTAGAGTGTACGTTCAGGTGAATAATAAACAGGACCGTGGCTTTCGAAAGTATTATACATGAGAGTAGTAAAAAGTGAATATTCTGATTCATAAGATTTAACGTGAGCTTAACACAAAAGAAGAGGCTATTATATCACAATATTTCCTGTCTATAGAACAGAAAATTTATGTCAGACAAGATGATAAAAGCGAGTAAAATAAAGAAATAAAAATAGGATAAAATAAAATATCAGCACAACAGATCTAGGATCTTTTGTTTACGAATGACTAGTATAACAGCGGAAATCCTGGATTGATAACTATGTATATGTTCTAAAGTTATAAAAAACGAAATAAAGCCGAGTAAAAAAGGATTGAGAATTATAAATTATAATTTGACGTGGACAGAAATGGAAAACAGAAATTTTAAACAAGGTTGTGGGGTTTTATTATTGCGTCCTCTCCTTTTCTTATACGTAACAGTGAATACAGATATGAAAGGAGTGAACATGAATAAACAAAATGCATTCAGTTTTTTTCATTGGTATTTTGTGGTAGAATTCAAGATGAATGCCATTTACTACCAAATTAATCTAAATAGTGAAACAATGATAAAATGCAGTGAAATAAGGCAGTGTTTACAATTAGCAAAAATAAATTGAAATATTGTTTTAAAGAAGAAATAACTACAGTTAATAAATGGTTATGAGAATTGGCGACTGTAAGAAAGGAGATTTGTTAAAATACAGTACAATACAATACAATGAACAATATTACAATGGTGAATATGAAAATGATGGATGAAACAAAAAATAAAGATTGAAGATGTTCGTACTAGCTAACGAATGGCTCCATTTACCATAGAGATGTAAACAGTAATTTTGAAATTTATTGTAAATACAATTTAAAAAAAATAATTTCTTAAATATCGGTAAGTATTAATTGACTAATTTCCACTTTTGATGGAAATACAAAAAAAGGAAAATAACAACTAATGAAGTTTAAATTCAATTAGTATTGTTTGTTTGAATCTTCCCATTGATGTTTAGGACTGCAACTGGTCAGTCTCTAATTGACATATGTGCATACTGTGTGTACTTCCTCGATATAGCCTTAATTCACAAGCATTATAAGCAAAGGTGGATAGTGGCTAGCAGTGGAATCCAGGACACGCGTTTCTTCCTATCTGGGACTCGTCAGCTGGATGTATCTGCACCTGAGTTGGTGTTCACTCTGGAACTCGAACCCAGTGCCTTTCGTTTCAAACGCCATCGCGTTATCCACTCAGCTATTAAGTCCTGATAGGTACTTGCTTGTGCAATGGGGTGATTTAAACAAACAATACTGGGTTCGAGTCCCAGAGTGAACATCAACTCTGAAACGCAGATACATCCAGCTGACGAGTCCCAAATAGGACGAAACGCGCGTCAAACTGGATTTCACTGCTAGCCACTATTCATCTTTGCTAACTAACGAAGTTGTCTAATGCTTGCATAAATTCAACAAAATGATATTAATGATTAATTTTGAAAAAAAAAGATTATTAATGATCAAAACTATTTTAATGTCCACCATATGAATATAACAAAAAAAATCAAGTTTTCTATTACCGAATACATCTGAAAAAAAGATTTAAAAAAAAATTAAAGCACTCTTTTTAATATTCAGCAACGGTAGTCAAATCCAAGATATCCAAGATATTATTCTGCAATTGTAGTCAAATTTATAAGAATACAGTTGATAAATAAATTATGATTTACAAGCAAATAAAATACAAGACAATGAAAGGTTTCAAGATAATGACCAAGTTATTCAACTCTTGGCTATGATCATCAATGTTAACTAATTAGTTTATACAGAAATAATTAATCCTAAATGTTACTTCTATGATAGATTAAAATTAGCTGTGATCGTGAATAGATGCTTATCAGTAATAGTAGATAATGAAGACTAGAAGGTTCCTATAACTTATTGAAATATAAATCCTTCATGAAAGAGATTGAAAAATCTGCTGAATGTTAAGAACATAGGATGGAATACGTTCTCGATATTGTATGATTTACAATGATTCGCTAACTGATTTCAGTTCATAATGAAAAACTATTTTAAAATTATGTTGAACAAGTTGGAAAAATTTCTTTTTACATAAGCGACAACGAGTATATATGAATAATATAAATCCCCGTTGACACTAGTCAATATATAAGATACTTAACTTTATAAAAGTACGGTAGGTTGTAAAGATTTTTTAAATATTATATTTGTATGAAATCACATCTAATCTTCAGTAGGTCCCTAACCAGTCAACTCCAAGTTTTGCACAAAGTAATTTAGTAGCTAATTCAATATAAAGATATCTGATTATACTTTCATTTATTTGCATTCATGAAAGTGTACTGAAAATACTCAATATCATTTACCAAATATGAATTAAAATGGAATAGAAAATTGATGTCTATTATGATCAATGACAATTTACATTGCGTAGAAATAAAAAAACATAGTTAACCATAACAGTTAATAGCTCTTTTCATTATTTAATTATATCAGTTATAATTCTATTTATACTCCTATCTCAAATATATTATCATTATTATTTATGGCTTTATTCAGTATTTAATTTTTGGTACAATATAGAGTTCTCAGCATAAAATATTTCAACAAGTTTCCTTTTATTTCTTGATCGATCCTGATGTTAAATATTGTAAGATCGTCAGTTAAATGTTAACAGTCCAGCAATCAACATTCGAATAATGTTCATTCTCTTCGATGCATATTGCCAGCCACCGCAAAGTCTCTAATTTTACTTTTTTATTATTTCTATAGCGAAGGGTCGTTGAACTTTGCATAAACACACTTGAATAGGTTATGCGATGAATAGATATGATGATGTGTTAAAACAAACAAAAAACAGATAACTGGTTGAAATATCTACATGGCAGGAACATGTAGCCCATATATTCTAGTAGGCCTCCATAACGTCATCATATAGATATTAGATGTTTAATAATATATACTAAATATGAAATTGACAGTTGTTTCAAATGTGGTATTTCTTTTATGATGATAAAAGTGTAAATATGGCTAAGTAATTACACCTGTAAA